CACGCCAGAACGGATTAACGGTAATTATATTGAACCTTATGGGGAAATTTGCTTCGGGTTGTGACCAATTCGGGCTTACCAATTAAGTTCGTAACCCGAGGTACCACTGTATATATAGAGAGAGAGGAGGGAAGAAGGAAGGAAGCTAGCATCAACCCAGGAGGAAATGGTTGCTTAGGGCTACAACCAGCCGAGGAGAGGGGATGTGGCAAGCCATGCAGCCAAATCACAGCTTAAGATGGCTTGGACAAAAAATACTGCTTTTGGATTGTAGCAGAAAAACACAGTTGGGGACTGCTTCACCAATACAATATCGTCTGTTCCTGCACTTCAGAAGAGATAGATGACCCATACTGACAATGGGTTGAGCGCGATATGCTGATATGTCTTAAGCAATGTTTCCCAGCCTAGGCAGCTTCAAGGTATGTGAACTTCAACTCCCAGAGTCCTCCAGCCAGCATGTCCATTGCTGAGAATTCTGGGAGTTGAGATTAACACACCTGGACATTGTTCAGGTTGGGAAACATTGACCTAAAGTCTGGTTACAAAGATGCCAGATGTGAAGATAAAAAACATGGATGCTATTAAGTCCAGGCTGATTCCTGGTGATATACCATGCTGTTTCCTTGGCAGACTTACAAAAACTGTTTGCCATTCCCTTTTTCTAAGATTTTAATTTAATTCACAATTTAGTCTACAGTTCTGTGATTCTTAGGTGATTGGACATCCAAATATTAACCAGGTGTGATGCCAGTTAGCTTCAGAGATTAGTCAAGATATCAGTCTTCATCCATTGGTAACAATATCTGTGGTTTATTGAATAAATTCTAGTTGGTTGGATTCACGCATCAGGTGAATCCATGAGCCATGAGTTACACTAACTGAGTTTATACATCATTCCAAGCCAACAGGTAGTTTGCTAGTTTGAGCTTAGCATGAATTAGGAACCAAGCTCTGAGCTGGGAATATAAATCATCAACAAGAGCAGGGCCAAAGCTTGTAGCTGAATGTTTGTTCTTTTTAAGAAACAGAAATAGGGAAGATGGAGAAAAGAAAATGGGGGAGGGATTTTTATCATACCTGGAATTCCCATAACCTAAAGTTAAGGTGGCAACTTTCTTTTGCTTTTTCTAATTGCTTTACAGCCATGACGTTTGCCTACATTCACCCTCCAACCATATTCTACTTACCCAAAAGGAAGGTGAATCTGAATTTATGACAACCCACCCAAACAGGAAGAGTAAACACAAAGAAGTCAGAGGCAGGTGACAAACTTGATAGAATTAAAAACTAAGAATTAAAATAAACTTCTTTGAGTATTGATGTAAGTGTAGTTGCCTCAAAGTGGTAATTTTAAAGACCTGGTAAAGAAGGAGAAGATACTTTCCATGGTGTCCTAGGAGGATTAAGTATCCTGAGAACTACCCAGATGAAAGTTGAGCCATCTTTGTCATACCAGGTCAAAGAGGAGACAGCAGAGCTACCCTGGCAGAGGCTATCTTTTAGTCAGTTTGCCCTGGACCCCCAGGAAAAAGTCAGAGAGAGGATGTTGCTCATTGCTGCCCTAGGAATCTGATGAGGAACAGGATCCATTGGAATACACATGCTGTGAACCCCAATTTATGAGGGTTGAATGCAAAGTAATTCCTCCAGCTCCATAATTTTAGTTTAATTAGGGATATTTTAATAAATAAAACAGGAAAATAATCCTTGAAATGAGCTCTTTGGTTCCCTGCATTTACTATTCTACATACTCACCACTACACTTGCTACACCCTTCTCTAGTACGGACAAACTTCTTAAAGCTGGCATGAAAGAATCCTACCGTTTGCCTCTTCCACCAAGTCCTGACAGTCCTTTCTATCTTTTCATTAGAGTCAAACAGATGCTCAAATTTCGGGAAAAGGTGGAAGTCACATGGCGCCAAGTCTGAGCTGTATGGCAGATGAGGTGAGATGGTGAGATCCAACTTCACAGTTGCATTATTGTGTTATAGCAAAATTTTCTCCCTGGGCTCACAAACTCTGCTTCATTTTTGTTTCAAAGTTTTGAGTGTTGCAACATAGCACTTTGAGCTGACAGTGGCGCCAGGTTCAATGAAATCCACGTCAATAGCACCTTCTGGGTCCCCAAAAACTGTAACAATAAGCCTGGACATTCTGGGGGATCTTTTTCCTTCACAAGTGAAGCTTTGTGATGATATTCCATGGATTGAAACTTCACTTTTGGATCATACTGGTGAGCCCATGTTTCGTCAGCTGTCAGCACACTGATGAGTACTTACTGCAGGCTCCACACGCAATAGCAACACAACCTTTTCTTACAGCAATTTCCCACCAGCTGAAGTGGAAGAACAGCTGCTAAAGAATGTGTCAGAGAATCTTACATTTCACTACTGCCATCTATTGGTGACTGATAACATTGGAGGCATTATTTTTCATTCAACCTTGATACTGCATTTATATCCCACCCTTTCCCTCTGAGAACTCATGGCCTGTCCATAAGCCCCCCCCCCCCATTTTAACCTAAATTTAAACAACAACAACTACCCTGTGGTATAGGCTGAGTTGAGAAATAATGCCAGGCCCAAAGTCTTCCAGTGGCTCTCCTCAGTCCGATACCCCTAACTTTTTTTTTTTTTTTGTCTGCGCTCAGTCATTGCTGACCCTGCAGTGACTGCTTGGACGAGTCCTTGCAGTTTTCAAGGCAACTGTTTTTTCGGAAGTGGTTTGCCAGAGCCTCCTTCTTTTCTGACTAGCCATGCCCATGCCCACAATGTCATTTTGTTGCTAACAGTCAACCATTATGTGCTAGTCATACCCATAATTATTTAAGCATCCTTCACCTCTTTCAATATTCTGCTAGTTCTTATGACCAGCCTAGGCACGTCCATCCAGAGTCCACTGGAGCTGGGTGGCCAATAAATTTAAGTAAATGAATAAATCTTGATTAAACTTAACTGAGCCCATTTAGCTGTGAAATCAACGTGGCTGTCTAGTTTTATACATGAGCAAAACTGGGTCCCTCCCCACTTTATTCTTCAGCACAGATGGGGCTCTAGGAATGATGACAACTGGGTTCAATATATCTACATAACATGAGAACAGGAAAAACTACTATACAGTTTTAGTAGTGAGTCAACTCTACTAGGTCCTATGTCTCGCTCAAAATTAAACAGAGAGACAGAAGAGGGAGGGGGGAAGCCATAGCTCTTTCTTCAGTGAAATTAGTTTAAAGCCAAGGTCATGATCATAACTGGGTCAGAATTACCCTGCCAAGGTATACTTGACTCATTGACTCATGGGTTGAGGTTTAAAGGTGAGGGTCACCATGCAGTGGAAGAACAAATATTAGCTATTGATTTCAAAGTATATATTGAAAGGTAAATCTCTTTCAGAACCTTGCTCTCCCAGCAGAGCTCCAGTTGCTGTCTCCTCTGATTCCTCAAACATTTCCAACATGTCCCTTTTAATTTCCTTCTTAATTGGGACACAGATGCTTCATTTGGTGGTTGCCTCTCCACCTCTTTCCTTTCTTTTCCCATCATGCAATTCTTTGGTGGTAAAGGCTGCTGCAGAAGCGGCCCTTAACAAACTCAATGCAGATCGGAGAGAAGGCTACGTTCTTAGCCTCCAGCGCATTTTTAATGTCCATGAACTACCCCAGGTAAGATCTCTCTCTTCTACTGACTTTCTTCTTTTCTTCCACCTAGCACCACCCATTCTGGTGTCAAATTATGGTAGCGTTAATGTACCTGGGCAGGGAAAAAAAAAATCTAGAAAATCACTTGGTGGCACCCAAGAGATACAGGAAGCTATCATGCTATCCTTGAATCTACTGGTCATCCAGATTTTGCTAGCCTACATTTAGTAGCCCTAATAAAATGAGGGTAAGGGGAGAAGAGGAAGCCACTCCTACCCTCTCTATTGTGAGAGGAAAAATGCTAGTGGCCTAAAACTTATTTTAATATAGATATATGTTATTTAATAATAAATAACACATTTAATAATAAAAGCAAGGGCTAGCTTGAAGATGACCTTTGGGGCAATGACAGAAAATAAGTAAAACTTGCAAAACTAAGGAAACTCTTAAATAAGCAACTTGTTGATGGGAATAGATGTGACAGGGACAGAGGGAACAGGAAAGTGTGGTGAAATTAGCTCTGGGAATGTTATGAAAATCCTGAGAGTCATGATTGTGGTTTGCGTTTTAAAGGATAAAAAGGATTGCACCTAAGTGGTCGGGACCACTTGGTCAAGCTGTCTACCTGACAGCTCGGTCCAGCTGGTCCACATTGCAATGTGAATCTAAGTAAGTACCTTATATGCTTTTACTTGCTTGTTGAACTAACTTTTAATAAAGTTTTTAGAACTTTGAAGTAACTTGTTTTATGGTGTGTCTGTCTCCTGTGTTGTAACGTGGTTTTTCCGTGACACTATGCAGGGCCAGCTTTACCATTAGACAGAGTAAAGCAACTACTGTATATTCGGTGGCAGATCTTGATAACCCGGCCATTCCCCCTCCTTTTTTTTTTTAACAGGATAGGGCAATGCCCGTCCCAGACTTTCTAAGTTAACCTGCTGAGATCAGGTTTGGTAGTAATGGATACTCACCCATTGCTAGGATTAAAATAAGTATTTTTCCCCATGCGGCAAATCATCTGGAGTAAGCCCTGATTCTGTGGACACTGGTGCCCTTTATACGTCCTGGCATACAAGGTTCCAATTTGCTACAGTGTCTTTCTGCCCAACTTTCCAACTGAACAGGGCCTCTGGCCTATATATTACTTAAATATTCTCAGAGAGGTAGGTGATTGGTGTTTTAAATTCAGAGAGGGAAATTTAAACAAGGAAGAATTAAGAGAAAAAAGTGATTAAGGACCAACGCATTATACAACCTGTCCTGTAACCAGTTTCCATAGATGCAGTAGAGGGCTCTATCTGTTGCAGTATTAAAATAAGATTAATCCAGTGGTGTCTACAAGTTCTCTCTCCCCTCATCAGAACTTCAGTAGCAGCACTTCAGTATCCCACCGGAGCTCCAAACCTTTGTGGCCTGTGTGCAATATTGTCAAGAATATAAAAAAGACTTCATTCTTGCATCACACTATGCTTGCATTACTTGGACCCACTGGCCCTGTTCAGAGAAGCTGCTGGATTTATCTGAAAACACAATGGGTTTCTTGACATCGGTAAAAACGGGCTGACCTCTTGCCTTTTTCTGAGAGTTGCTTTGAAGGTTAATTTATTTCCACGCAGTTTGCTTAAGGTGATTGATACCCTGCCTTGCCTTTTCAAGAGTTTTCCTTTGTTTGTCGGTAGCAGATCGGTGGTTCTCTTTTCTACCTCACTATGGATGTGTTAGAAACTGAATGCCACGTCCTGAGCAGGAAGTTGTCGAAAGACTGCAACGTTAGACATGCACACGAGACAGTAAGTAATTGATCTATTTAGTTAAAAGAATTACCAACGGGGATTGGAAGAAAGGCAAAACTGGGTTTTGAACCGGTTGATAAAGGAGGCTGAGGGAGTCACTCCACCCACCTGC